TTATATTATATTATATTATAAGTCTGAGTTTTAGATTATGAAGATTGTAAATTTTAAATTTTATTAGGGGTATTATGAGTATTATGAAAATTTTATTAATTGTACTATATTGATTCTCGCACAATTTAAAAGTTAAAATTGTCTTTAGGTTACTTCTGATTTTGACTGTAAATTTTTAAAAAATTCTTCAAAAAATATTTTAAAGAAAATTTATCAAATATTAAAATGAGCTTTTGCTACAAACAGAAACTGATTTTAAAAAGGAAAATTGAAAGGAAAAATAATACCAAATTAAGCCAATAATTTGTTCCCGCTTTTAATATTTTCGCTTTATTGAGCTTACTTTTCCTTTATTATTTTAGAAAAAAATCTGAAATTAATAAAGGGCCTTGATAATTCCCGATCGAACGGTCCAAATTTTCGTGGCACATTACGCAGTTATTGCCGCCAGCAAACTGCCATTTTCGAATAACCAGCTCTGAGAGAGAACTCCTCCAAGAAGAAGAAAAAGAAGAGAGAGAGATGAAGAGCGGCGATATCGTTTGGGCGAAGATACGAGAGGAACCTTCTGGAACATGTTATTGGCCTGGCTTGTTACAGACAAGAGATACCCTTGGCGTCTTGGTCTCCTTCTTCAACCTCCAAAACCCTCGCCATTTCCACGACTCCGAAATCCATCCATTCTCCGGAAACTTCCTCCAATCGGCCCCGACCAACCTCGACGGCGCGGGCAACGCGCTCCTGGATCGCGCGTTGCGATGGCTCTGCCGGAGGACGGCTCTAAGCCTCCGATGTCGCTGTCTGTCCGAAACGGCGGTGGCGAAGATGAGCGGAGGCCTGGAAATGGCGGTTGGTGACGGCGAGGCGTTTCGGGCGAAGAACTCGTTCAGGCCGGAGGCGGTGCTGGGGTTTGTGTTGAGCAAGGCTGTTTTGCCTTGGGTTGAGGTTGAGGGTTTCGTCGGCGCCGTCAGGTCGGTCGCTGAGATTCAGGTTTTTCGAGATTATAATGCGATCGGACAGAAATCGGTTTACCAGAAATCGAGGCGGGCGTGGCGGCGATGCGAGAGAGGTATTTTCTTGCTTTTGGTATTTGTTTATCAAGTTTCCGATCGTAAATTAGGGGATTCAATAGGGCACAACAAATTAGTTTAAAAAAAAAAAAGAAGGAATTGTACAAGTAGTGAATGATTTTTCTTTTTTTAATCGTTGGGATTTCATTGGGTTATGTTATGGTTGCTTCTGTTATCAGATGACATTTAAGAAGTGGAAAATCTAGTTCTGCTTGTGTTTATATGGCTAATTGTTCGGAGAACTGGTAAGCAAGCTAGATCAATCGAAGCTTATAAAACAGGAGCGAAACATGGAATATGACCCGTATTGATAACTGCTATTTTTCGTAGTTAGAGTGATTTATGATGTTTCAAACGTTACACACCTGTCAGAAGTGGAACTATCTACTTTGGTGAATTATCCTTTTCATTTTGCAATCTTTTGGTGACTTTTTTGTAGAGTTATAAATGCTTGTGTAGATCGTTTAGAACTTTTGGACTCTACTTAGGATCTTATCCTTCCTGTGGTGCCACTTATTAACATGAAAAGGCTTTAGATTTTTAATTGGTCACTTACTGAAATCTTTTAGAGTTATAATCTCAGAATTTTAGTATGCGACTTCTTGTTGTTTTTCAGGTACGCACTTAGAGCTGCAGTCTCATCCATCTTCTGGTAGCATGGCCGAAGAATCATGTAATTTGGAGCGGAATTTTGATAGTCAGGCATCCCCAAAGCCAAAGGAAGCGAACATGGAAGCTGGTGCGGCGAGCAGAATGAACTCAACTGTTGTTTTTTCGAAGGAATCCTTTCAACCCTTGCATGAAGATCAGCTTGAGAAACACTTGATTCAGGTTCAGAAAGAAGAGAGACAATCATCTTCTGAGATACTGGTAAACTTGCGATGCCTTGCATTAGATTCATTTTGTTTGGGAGTAAGCTGTTTGAATAACACACAACAACATCTTTTGGGGTTCAGAAGTATTCTATTTGAGAACGTTTCTGTTAGGCATATTAAAAAGTGTTCTCCTTCAAAAAGCAGAGAAGCTTACTTGTCCAGCCCTGGTTATTTGAAGACTCAGCCAAGTGTCGAGGCTTCTGAGATACTGGTAAACTTGCGATGCCTTGCATTAGATTCATTTTTTTTGGGAGTAAGCTGTTTGGATAACACACAACAACATCTTTTGGGGTTCAGAAGTATTCTATTTGAGAAAGTTTCTGATAGGCATATCAAAAAGTGTTGTCCTTCAAAAAGCAGAGAAGCTTACTTGTCCAGCCCTGGTTATTTGAAGACTCAGCTAAGTGTCGAGGCTGATGAAAAGAAATGTGACGATGGAGTTTGTGGCTCCATTATACCATACATAGAAAGGCCTGTGAGCAGATTAGGGCTTAAGAGACGGCTTGACCTCCCTGCTTTTTGTGAATCTCCTTACAAGTTAAACAAAAGAACGCCTTTCTTATTGATTAATGGAGCTGGATATTGTCTGCAGATGAATAGGCCGCCTGAGGCAGAAGTAGAAAGAAGTGGCACGGGTTCAGAGGAAACTTCAATTCATAATTTTTCTTTAGGTTCTTCTAAAATGTTAGAAATTCAAAACTCTAGGGCCCTGATCTTGAATCATGCAAGCAATACTGGCTTGTTGGAGTTTTCCCCTAACACATCTGACTTTTCTCTCCTTAAACATTCGGCTCGTCTCAGTAACATTATTGATATCAGTAAGGATGAGGAACATAAAGTGAAGGATGCATGCGGGTCTTATGTCGAGTTACAAGAGCTTGATAGGAGTATTAGCATTGTGAAAAACGACAGGTCTTGCATGTATAATATTTGCAATACATCTGAGAAGACTATAAATGGATTTGCGAATGAAGACATGAAAGTTGATAACAGTTTTGGTTTGCTGCAACCTTCTGCAACTCAACTATCTATCAGTGAAATGCCTGGAACTAATGCCAGTGATGTTGAGAAAGCCAATCACGATGCAGCTACTGAGGTAAGTCGATCAGAGTTCCGTCCAATTCTCGATAGCACCCAAATGCAAACTAGTGGTGATAAGGATGCCATATCTGTTGGGCCTAACAAAAGAGCAGTGAGCTTGAATGTAGCTTCGAAGAAAAAATTGAGAAGACCAAGAAGTTCCATAGTTCTTGTCCTTCTGGTTTGTTATTTAATTCACACGAAGCAGAACAATCAAAAGCACTTCCCAGGTTTGATGGTTCGAAATCTTTGCATATGAAGTTCCCCAGGGACTATAATCTGCCATCAAAGGAGAAACTCATAAGGAAATTTCGACGATTTGGCCCAATTGATTCTTTGAAGACCAAAATCTTCGATTATACAGGATTTGCCCAAGTGGTTTTCCTTAACGAATCTGATGCCATGGCTGCTTACCAGTATGCTAAGGATGCCATATCTGTTGGGCCTAACAAAAGAGCAGTGAGCTTGAATGTAGCTTCTGAAGAAAAAATTGAGAAGACCAAGAAGTTCCATAGTTCTTGTCCTTCTGGTTTGTTATTTAATTCACACGAAGCAGAACAATCAAAAGCACTTCCCAGGTTTGATGGTTCGAAATCTTTGCATATGAAGTTCCCCAGGGACTATAATCTGCCATCAAAGGAGAAACTCATAAGGAAATTTCGACGATTTGGCCCAATTGATTCTTTGAAGACCAAAATCTTCGATTATACAGGATTTGCCCAAGTGGTTTTCCTTAACGAATCTGATGCCATGGCTGCTTACCAGTATGCTAAGGATGCCATATCTGTTGGGCCTAACAAAAGAGCAGTGAGCTTGAATGTAGCTTCTGAAGAAAAAATTGAGAAGACCAAGAAGTTCCATAGTTCTTGTCCTTCTGGTTTGTTATTTAATTCACACGAAGCAGAACAATCAAAAGCACTTCCCAGGTTTGATGGTTCGAAATCTTTGCATATGAAGTTCCCCAGGGACTATAATCTGCCATCAAAGGAGAAACTCATAAGGAAATTTCGACGATTTGGCCCAATTGATTCTTTGAAGACCAAAATCTTCCATTATACATGATCTGCCCAAGTGGTTTTCCGTAACCAATCTGATGCCATGGTTGCTTACCAGTATGCTAAGGGGAAGAAGCTTTTACCTGGTCAACCAAATGTTCGTTACTGGCTCGATCCATTTGAAAGCAAAAGAGGAGCAGCCAAGTATATGACCGGGAAACCATTAGGACCTGAGCTAAAATCATGTCTTCGAAACTCCGACGCTCCTGGGGCTGAAGACAAAAGGAAACATAAGAAGGTCAGGTTTCTAATGACCGGGAAACCATTAGGACCTGAGCTAAAATCATGTCTTCGAAACTCCGAAGCTCCTGGGGCTGAAGATAAAAGGAGACAAAAGGAAACATAAGAAGGTCAGGTTTCTAATGACCGGGAAACCATTAGGACCCGAGTTGAAATGATGTCTTCGAAACTCCGACGCTCCTGGGGCTGAAGACAAAAGGAAACATAAGGTCAGGTTTCTAATGGAAACAGGGAGCTGAGACTTGAAATCTCCTGATCTTAATCTACATCAGTAGAATTTGTATTTTTGCTGATTGTAAATATTCAAAATCCGAATCTATAACAAGCTCACACAGGCGAGGTCTAGATGTCTTTTCACTATGTTTTTGATGAAATATCTCGTGCTAGTAAATCAACTGCAAGTGGGGGAATAATTTGCTGCTTTGATGTATGATTATGAACCGTTATACGGTCCATGTAAATGTAGGTCATTTTGTGTTACCCTATGTTCGAGTAAGTCTGTTACTGGTCTGAAATGGCAATCTGTTCTTTAAATGGAAGTTCCTGTTGCAAAAAGCAATTTTCTTCCAAGCAATATTATGCTCATTGCTTATGGCTAATTACTCATAACCACCTTTGCAGTGCTAAATGTCCGTATTGATATCGGCATAAGGTGATGGTTATTTGATGCTGGATATCTCATCCTTTATTGTCAATGTGTTACCAAAACAATATTTCAGAGAATGTAAGAACTTATTTTAGTGTAGACATACAGGGACAAATTAGAAGAAATAAATATTTTGATAATACACGTCTGAAAATAAAAGATATAAAATTTCAAAGGAAAGTAAGGAGCAATAAAAAAAAAAATAGCAGCACAAAAAAAGCGAAATAAAAAGAAATTGAAGCGACACATAGAGGTAACGTTTGATGAAAAAAAATATATCATGTAAAAGAATATTTAGGTGAAAACATATTTGGAAAATATATTGATATGTAAAAAGGATAAATTTAAGAAGAAAAGCATTTTGATGACGCACATTTTAGAATAAAGATATAAAATTACACAAGGAAAAAAATAAGAGCGTATAAGGGG